CACACACACACACACACACACACACACACACACACACACACACACACACACACCTCTTCCCTCTGCACGCCCCCCCCCACCTCACTCTGCCTGTGCCCGTCCCACGGATTCCCGTGGGTGCGAATCACGAATTATCCTCGGTGCGAATCGACGAGTGGATTCTCGTGGCGATGCCCTGGCACACGGAATCTTGTGGGCACACCCTTTTTCCCACGGGCCCTGCGGCGTTTCGCCTCGCCGCAGGCAACGCCCTCCTCCGGTTTCGCCCGTCCCGCCCTCACGCGACGACCTGCTCCGGTTCCGCCCGTCCCGCGATTTTCCGTGGGCTCACAACTTCATGTGACGAGGGGACTGCTGTAACTTTACAAGGTATAGACCGTATAGAGAAGAGAAAGGGAGAAGCGCCTGCCGAGCCTTGTGAGCGGCGTGCCTTCCGTCAACCGGTTTTTCATCATGGTGCTGGGTCAGTGGAGGATCCGCCGACAATTAGTGAATCCTCCAAGATGGCCGAGGAACGAGGTCGGACTAAAGTTTATGCTGGTAGCAGACCTGAAGGCATGCTGGTTTATGTCCTTATGCAGAGATGTTTGCTGAGACCTAAAAAATAAGGACCAACTTAAGGTTATCTGCGCCAATAAAGGGGTTACCTACAACACTAAATCCCTACTATTTAGCGTATCATTGAAGCTACGGAGTTTGTGTTCACTCCTACGCCCTCGCCGTCAAGTAGCCTGGAGGCGGAATGGACACCTTGCAAGTGACTTGCTCCATGATGCTGATTTAAGCTATGGTCCAACCTCTTGGAGCGTATGTGTTTGCGGCACATGGCATGGGTATTCGGGGGCTCACCGTGCCTCAGGCTACTATACGATGTATGTGCCACTCTATGCTTTGTGGCTTTGGCCCTGTTGGGTGAAATTTTGTGGATGGCGAAGTTCGTGTCCCTGTTGACTAAGGTGGATTGGGATGCATGGCAGTCCGGTCTTACGGTGTACTTGTTGACCTCTCTATGGTGCAGACCTCACTGTATCAGTTGCTCCGTGCGGGCCGAGCACCTTAGAACGGTCAAGGCTAAAGGTGACGGGTTGTCTCCTCGATTGTACCGATGGCTCTGGGCATTTGGTGTATGGAAATATGTTATGGAGCCTCTCGTAAATGGGGTAACTACAAATGAAGCTGCAGAAAAGTCGCTCATTACTAGTTTTTCGCCTAGTATGAATTTTAGAACAAAGACTCGGATGAGTAATCATGTCACGACCTTGTAGATTTTAACGGTGAGGTAGGTGCCCTACTCAGCTTGAATGTGGATTGGTGAAGTTTCGGCTATTGGGGGGTCAATGATCTAATACCCTTCTGTCCGATTTGCTTTTTTTTTTTTTTTTATAGAATAATTGGAATGAATTGATCCTCTCCATTCCATTAGCCTGGGTCATCATACTGAGGAAAGGCCCTACACTAGAGTGGAGCATCTGGACAGCGGAAAGAAGGGAGCCACAAATTGTGCGCAGTGTCCTTGACATCAGGTCGACAGAGGTACTGATAAACAAGTTCCACAGGGATTGGAACCATAAACTGACTAAATATGTATCGAACTAGGTTGAATGGGTCCCAAAGGAGCAATTTTTTTTTTTTTTTTTTTTTTTTTTTCTTGCGATGGCTCCTGTCTATTGGTGGGGAGCTGCACCTGCTGGAAAACGGGTGCAGTGTCCCCAACAGTACATTGCAATGAGTG